CATTAGGTAATCTTATTATTCCAAAATACCATACTAATTCGGGACAACATTCAATCAAATATGCTGGGGCTAAACTCTGGAATAAACTTCCAGAAGAAATTCGTTCCATGAGCTCAAGAAATTCATTCAAAAAAGAAATGAAAACATTTTTACACTATGCTTAAAAAATTTTTTTTTTAACGTTCACTTATTATTGTAGTTTGTATTTTACCTAGATAAGATTCACTATGCATTTCAGTGTTGTTTGTATTGTATTTTTGTTTATCAGTATTGCATGTAAATTAAGTGAATAAATTCAATTCAATTCAATTGTTTATGTTGCCCAACATTGTCTTCCTTTCATCTATCCATTGTATTTCAAATTCCCCTACTTAGGCTAACAATAACATTAGTAACCTGAAACTATTTATATCTCATATACAAATTATTAACTCACAAAAGAATTTGGCAATCCTATGAACCTTATTATAGATAAAAAAATATGTTTAAAGAAAAATTAAATACAAAGTTAGGAAAACAAGATTCAACAAATGTCATTAAACACCATCATCAACCGACTATCTAAACAGACCAGCTTCTAAACCAATAACAACACCAACACAACTGTCAGCATCCTTTATTTTTAAGTTTTTGTCATATTACCTCAAACCCTGCAAATAGAAGTGTGATAACTGTCATAAAGGTGATTGACAGGTCATACTTGTTTTCAACTCTGGAAGGACAGTTGGAATCTACCAGGTGTGCTGTGATTTGAATAACAACAGATGTTTATGATCAACTATATATGAGTTGTCTACGTGACACAGCTGCTAGCAAGATCATATTCTGATTGGCTCATGTGGAAACCCAGGTGGTATCACTGAATCTGGGCCATTTATGCCTATAAATTGGTCAGACTGAGAACAGTTGGGTCCATCATTTCAACTTAATAATCTGTGTGTTGCTGCTACAATATTGTAAGACAAGTGATACAAGCTTCAATCATCATTATGTGAGACTTCTATGAATTGCTCTGCAATCTCCTGCTTTCAGTGGTGCCCTCCAGAATAACAGTGTTCCTCTGCAAGTAAGACTCCTGTATTTCTTTGTTGTTGTGTTGCAGAAACCATTGACTATCGTTCATTTTTACATTCATTGTATTTTACTGTGTGCTTTTTTTCTTATTTTATTTTGAGAGGTATTACAGCTCGGAGCTTTAACTCGATATTTTCGTGTATGTGTATTTCGTTTCAAGTACTATTATCTTGTCTACTCCATACTAGCAGTGTAAGACCCCCCTGTCCAGTGTGAGTTCTGTGGGCGGCCCTCTCAATTGCAATAAGCATGCCTTACACTGTCGAAAGCAAGGTCAAAAACCATCATAGGTCTGATAACTGTTAAGTTAGTATAAAACTCTTATAGAGACTTCAAACAATAAATATTCCATATAAATAATTGTTTGAAACATAAAGCAATTTTATAAAATGTACGTATCTATCAAATTAATACATTTTTGAAAATAAAAAAAGTTTCAAATACAATATTAAGTAAAACAAGATTTATCCATTATATTATCAATAGCCCTCGCTCCATCATCAACTGACTGCCCATACAATATACTACTTTATAGAACAACACAATAGCAACGTGAACAAAAATCACCATCACTCGTGTCTAAATGGGGCTGATCACATTCTAGATAATATTCACACTGTAAAACCAGGTCACACTCACAGAGGAAAGGAAATGTAATATGTTTGTGGTTGAGATACGGTAGACTTTTAAAACCTTTAAAGACAGATGTGGTGACAATAACCAATCCGTCTCTCCCGAAACCAATGAAAAAGTGAGGGCAAATTACTTTCACAATTGATAATTATATGCCTAGAAATTCAGGGTGATAGTTACAGCTAAGTTAAAAAAAACATAAGTAGCTGGGTGTGAACTACTTGTTGCAAAATAATGCAATCAAAATAGTAACAACGCTTTATTTATACACGCTTACAGTGTTATAACATTCTAGTCAGAGTTCATGTATTAATCATTACCCAACTTGCAACGTGGTCGAATAAATATGACGTCCGTCTAAGCACACAGTACTATACAGTCTAGTAGTCCAGATTACTGCATTCATAGAGATGATCTTATTTACAAATCTTATATGAACATAGTGAAATTAAATGATTGCATGTAGGAATCAAAATTACCAAAAAGCAGCGCCATAATTATCTTTGCTGTTGTACTGTTATATTGTATTGCATGTCAAAAGAACCTAATATCATGTTAGCATTACGCAGCCAATTCGAGTTTGTCAAACTTCTGCCCGAATCTGATGTATACCATATACATAGGTTCATATTTACTCTTCGATATTTGATATAAATAATTGAAGAAACATTACTTTTTTAATATGTATATGGTGTAATCGAAGGTGACTGGTAAATTTGGTGTTATGATTGTGTACGCCGATTTCCTCCCAGTAGGCATGGTTAAAAGATAATCTCATAGTCAACAGATTTAGATATGCATGATGGTTGTGTGGCGTTGGAGGCTGTTTCTCACTGCTGATGATTTCTATACATTTCGTAATGTTGTCTAAGTACTTGCCAGAGAGGGAGAAGAACAGTCAGAAAATATGTCAGTGTTACTGAAAAAGCCGTGGTAGCAGTAACAAATGTAAAACATATATTTTCACTTATGAAATGTATAATAATGCGTTTATATATAATGCCTTTCGCAAAAAAACTAGCACTTCAATAACACTTAAAGATTTTGACAAATCGTGTCTCCATGTCTTCTGTGCTTTTTATATCGATCCAATATAGCAATGTAATAAATGTAAGTTGAAAGGGTTGTATTGACACAATTCAATCTGGTAATAGTCTGTCATGTTGTAGTAGTATAGTATTGTTTTACTGTCAGATTGTCATGGTACTTCTCTAGTAGATAGCATGTAATACGTTGATATATATTATAGTGTTTGCAATAGCATCAATTCAACATTCTACTCGATACATGGGAATGAAATGCATGTGTTCCATATACCAACAATACCAACAACATCAAAAACGTTTTAGTGAACAAAGAAGGTCTAACATTTGATTCAAGTACGTGTCTGTTTGTTTGATTGGTTGAATTTAAAAAAAAAATCATGGTCGTCAGAAAAGTAAGTAAAAATCACCACCACTGTCATTGTGTCGTTAATTTTATTTACCTCAGCTGCAGTGGAGAAGTGTGTTGTTCTCTACTGAAACTTACAGGACTGGTCTCTAAAATGTATTGGAATTGTTAGGATTGTTATGCTTTATACAATTGATTTCGATAGAAATAAAATCATAGACTAGTTAAGGTAGAGATGCAGGTTTGTGGGCACTTGGGAGTGAAATATTTTTGTTGCTTTTATTATCTGAACAGTCTTGGCTATAGACTGTTAAAATTTTGTAGAATTGTGAATAGTGGAACATACTCAAAAAACGATTTTAAAATAGATAACAGGTGCAAACATTCTCTCTTTTGAATGCTTAGCAAGATTTAGCAAGGCTGTACATAAATAATAAAAAAGAAACATGGTGAAAAAAAGAAATGACAGGATCTCCATATTATGCACTATATTTAACTTTTAACAAAACAATAATACATGTAAATTTAGAACTGTTACAGCCATTTTAATTATGAGCATTAGCAAACTTCTTACTGAGTGAATGGTTATGCAAATTAATAATTATCTCTTCTTTTTAGTACACATCCCAGAACTTAAAAAAAATAGCTTCTAGAAGCTTTGACCTTTTGTTTTGAAATGTTCACAAATGATTGACAATGTGTTTATCTTCAAAACGCCGTCGGGACATTGTTTTTGGTTGAACAGTGTTACAACAATCGTACAGACAACTAGCCTGGGTGTTCATTTATGCATAAACTTTAAGTAGTGAAATTTAAGCTGCTGCCCTGCAAAGTTGTCAACTGGTAGACATTTTTCAAGACGGCACTTTCTTCATAGAAAACAGATGTACTCATAAACCAATTTTGACAGGAAACAAAAGCATGGTTTAGAAGCAATTTTTTTTAAATCACTTTTGACCAAAAAAGCAAATTTTTGTGCATATTTCAAACTAAAGTGTCCATAAAAAAAATAATAAAACAATTTTAAAATTCATACAATAAGCTTTCCGAAAATATATAGTTTTGTGGACAAGGGAGGTCATCTTGGTTTCCTAATTAACTAATTAAAATACCTGTCAAGTAAACTGCATCTCTACCTTAAAGTATTGCGACCTAATAAGGATTAGCGACAGATAATCAAAATGCAATAAATAAAAGCAAACAATGAAATTGCAACTCGTAGAAATGTTGATTGATAATTTGAAGGCATGTTCAGATATATGAACGAGTTGCCTTCGAGTACTGGGTGGCTGTATGAAACGGCTTACATCACAATAAATGTTATTTTTGTGAATTTATTGATTTTCAAAGTGAACCAGGCAGGACACTTGCCCACCCGTAAATTTTAATTATTAGCTGCATCAAATAATAATTTGATTGACAATTCTGATCAGACTAATTCATTTTTGTCAAAAACCAGCTTTATTGAGATAGAATCCACCTGGAAATAACGTTAATGAGACAATATGTTTAAGACTTTGGTATCAAAATATCATGTAGTATATCAAATGAAATGCTTTAATGTGACAACATTTATTTGACATTTATGTTGTCAATGATTAATCACATTTACTGTAGTATTGGACACATTTTATATAGGATTACACGTATTGGTTATTATGTTATTATTATTATGAATGTAATTACATTCTTATGTCCCGAATATACGCCAAATATTTACATATGCTACCGAAGAAATATTCATGAATAGTTATTTTGGTCAACGGTTACCATATATTGGTTATAATGTATACTGTTCATATGAAATTATTAAAAACGTACAGACAGTTGAAATGAAAAAAATTCAAATGAAAAAAAATAACCACCAGTCCCATGACAAGGATTACTTCTTTGATGCTACATTAGTTACACCATTTTTTTTCGGTCGCAAATGTAGGGTTGTCGAGCCCTTCTTTACTCTGAAAAAAGTAAGCAGAAAATATACGTTTAGGTGTGTAAAAAGTGAGCAGAAAATATACGATTGATGTGCGTCTTTTTTATATTATTTTTTATTAAACATTTGAAATACGTGTAAATGAGATCTTCGAAAGTTCTGTTTGCTGATACAAATATACAATGCCCATTTAAAAAAAAACGAACTTCTGATCAGCAGGCACTCCATTAAGAACAGACAAGCAATGTGAATTATGGGCATGCTATGTGTTATTTATCTGGTGGAAAAAGAAAATCTGTTTTTAATCAAAGACATTGAAAATTCATGCATTTTTTTGTTTTTGTTTGTTTGAGAGTCAAAATGTTCATCTTCTGTTGATTGTGGTCAATAGTTCGAAACGTATTAAAACATAACGGGATCATGTTGATCAACGTGTAAAATAGGATAATGACACTGACATGTTTACAAACAACTTACCACGGTCGGATGCAAATAACATCAACATTACGAGTTTGGACATCATTATCATACAATTGTCGATTTGATTATGGTTGTGTAACGTATATTAATGACATGGACATCAAACAGATTAAGTGATTTATTGTTTTCCATGTGACTTTTAATCTTAATACTTACCGTCATACTTGTCATTCCTATTTGAACATCATATTCCTCATCATGTTGTCGGCGTTTAAGGAGGAACAGAGTAAAACAAAACATGATCAATGACACACCACTCAGGGCACAGCTTGCTCCAAGGAATACCACCCGGAAGAGGTAATTGTCATATTGTGCGCATGCACCGCGTTCACCTCCTTCCTCGCGCCACAGTATACATGTTGAGTCGATGAGATTTCCAGCTACAATGCTGTACGGAATCAACACTAATAATAAGACAAATGTATCCGTTAGTGATATTCAGTATGAATAAATAGTGAAGCAAAGCTGAGCACACGCGGAGGTATGAATACTTACAAAGGTTACGAATTGTACTCTTCATTGCAAGAGAATATGACTTCTTGTTTTCGTCAACACACCTAAATATAATAAGGTGAGATATCACTTGAGTGACGTTATGTGATCTTTAAAGATGCTCGCCTACACGTTTTACACGTACGCGTAACGTCGCGCAATTCAGTAGTGACGTCATCAAGTCATGTAAACGTTCTCGCGTGCGCGTAAACTGTATTAAGCTGATTAAACGTAAAGTGTGTATTTATTTATCTTTCGGGACTGTCACTCATACCTTCAGCGATTTGTCCATGTTCATAGAGAATTTCATTGTTACATACAATATTATATTCGCAATTTTGTATTATATTCTGTATTTTGTAGCGAGGGCTAGAAACGTGACTGGCAAACGAGACTTTTTTTTGTTTTTCTGGTACACAACAGCAAAATGTAACTTCAGTCTTCGTAATACATCTGCCTCTGAATGTAATTTTGCTTGTGCAATGGTTCCATCACAAGTATTGCAATCAGCACTGCCATTATTCACTGATAATGCGTATGTGAACAATTCAAAATCGTTTTTTAAGAATGCTAAATCTGCAATGATGGTCTTGTAAACTGCGTGATCTAGCTAATCACACAACGCTTACGCCCAACCAAATACTTTATCACCACGAATGTCTATGTCAACATGAACGCGGATTCTACGCGTAGGCGTAAAACATGCGTATTATATTATCTACGAGCCTCTATGAGTAAATATGTGACCCCAGACAATTCCAAAAACAAGTAATATCGATTGATCAACTCCGATTATCTTAAATATATTTTACAGATCGTGATTTAGTTTATGCTGATTGGACAAAGCGTCTAAGCGCGTTGGTGTACGCCACATATATGCCAATACGGTTTCCGTTGTTTTTCTTGTCATTTCATTATACAAATGACTGTTGTAATTTGCTCAATAACAAATACGCTGCTCCAAAATTGTTCTCGTTGTACAGTTTTTAAACTATGTTTTACGTGTTTTCCATACTACTGTGTATTTCATAGGCGATTCTTAACTATGAATGCACTGTGATTTATGTGGTATTATACCCATGTTTTATACCTTGCCTGAATGTGTCGCCTTGATCGCACAAGAGCGTGCTTTTCCGTGTGCAAGCTGTAGAACTATACACCACGCGTTAAAAGTTAAGGTCCTAAACGTAAATAAGAGTAAGGGCATGAATCCTAGGCCTGCTGTCGACTTAATTCGGCAAAAATAGTATTATCCATTATAAAGAACATTATACTCCTGGATATCTTTAGCTCAAACGAGATGCATGAGAACATTTTACTTTCAGAATTACACAATTAATACAAAAAACGTCCATGAATTATATTCAATATTCAAACGATAAACAGCCACTACAGTCGAATATATTCCTCTGTACTGCAAAATTTGCTCCATATATGACCTATGTTTTGACTCTTGCATATATGTCGTCAATTGTGCAATATCTAGCTTTTTAATTCCTTTTCTAGATTTGACATCTGCTGTGAATGCAAGATTTCCAGCTTCTCAACATTATGTAGCACTATTGATTATCTAGTTGTACAATGAATGAATGAAGAATGTATTGTATTACTTAGCTTCAGAGTTCAACATTCTCTCAACTTATTAACTATTAATAACAATGTGTTTACTTACCTTAAGGTAACCATAGTAACTGGAAGACTAATTGTAGCATTAGCTATTGCGAATACTGCCATGAAAAACAGGAATCCGGCAATATAGTTACATTCTGGTTCGATACACAGCTCATCGGCAGCAAATGTGTTTTCCAAGTTAATTTCATCAATACATGCACACATGGAGTAATTCTGATAAATCCCAGGATTTGAAAAGGAAAAATAGCAGTATAAGTACATGTAATTTACGAACATATAATAAAATGTATACTATGTATCCCTAGTAAAATTACATTACTAACACAAAATTGCTAAACTACAAACACCATTTTCTTATCTTGATTATGTATATGATTCTATATTCTTGCTTTTAATTATATTTGTTGGTCTATGTTTACCAAAGATCAAGTAAGCGCTTTCTAGATATTTATTATAAAGGGTCACAGTCATCGCTAAGTACGCATTTAAATTTCATGCGAACACTGTGAATATTAAACGTGTTGTATACGTTACAAGGAACCCATATGAATCACGAGGTATGAAGACTATAGCCCATCAACCAACCTTAGGACCAATACTTTCTGAACATCCTGCATAACACGGCGAGTAATAATTGAGGCCATTTGAACCACAAACAGGTTGGTAATGATCTAATTTGCAGCTACAGTCTGTATTACATTCTGTGATTAGACTGCTATCCCTGTAACATACAAATGACTGTCTTGTTATAATTAAAATCATTTTACGAACGTTTGAACATGCAACAAACGCGTTTCGAACTGCCCACTAAGATGAAACACCTCGCCACTGTAAGAAGACGCGTACCGCAATGCACTGCAATAACGGGCATAAAACACGGCTTGAAATAGCGTGTAATGAGCGCGAATACTGTGACTAAATATAGATGTGCTCACGTCACAAACAATTACAATGTTGTCATGAATGATTAAATATAGGAGCAATAATAAAAATGAGTTTGAGTTCGATAACTGATGAAGTGTGTTTTCAGATAAATTTATAGCAGTTTTCTAATAATCTGCAGAAAACCCAGTAAAACACTTTATACGTTTTAAAACATCAATAAAAAATAATTAATGCACAGAATAAATATTGTTTTTTTGTTGTGGCATTCCGTAATTGCAAAATACGTGTGCGTGAGTTTGTCATTTTGATTAAGCGAGTCTCAACGACAATATAGTTGGACGTTGAGAAGCACAGTCATCAGTTACTATATTCAAACACTTCTCAAAACAAAATGAAACAATTCAATTACAATATTTTGAGATAATGAAGTCACATTGTTCATCACTAACCTGCTTCTTTCCAAATAAGGGCCTTCACACGGAAACACCATGGCTAGACCATTAGATACAACGATGACGCCAACTAATATTAAGCAACATTTCATCAACCCAATCAGTTTTAATTTCAGTCGCTTTATAATATATCCACAAACAAGGCAAGCGGGAAAGTTGGGAAACAGCCAAAGAAAGCCTATAAGTGATAATAATTTGCAATATTATATAATAAAAGTGCTGGTGTGTTTTGTAAACATTGGTTACGCAGCAGAAGGAAATCATCCATTTCAACTGAAGCTGCTAACGTGAGGTGATATGTCATGAAATATATGTCATGTTCTTTATTATGTTATTTGAATCCAAATATATTGAATTTTTCAAAGCTGCATGTGAAAATATGTTGAATATTCACAATATGGTGTACGTCTACTGTTTACTGTTTAGACTTGTTAAGTGGGAATAACATTTCTAGCCGTAAATATTATAACACAAGTCGTAAAAGACAGACAAATACACAAAGACACCGTCTAATCAGTAAGAGAAGTATATATATATATATATCCTATCGTAAACATATCAAGTGTTTTTAAAAGTGATATCAAGTGTTTTGAAAAGCACTTCCTGCTCCACATTTTGCACCCACCATATATTATTCAGAGTGATAATGAAGTTTCCGTGTGAAGCCGTGTTGTATTTAATCACAGTAATTATGTAGATATTTCTGTTTGGTATGATTTAAAAAATACATTTGCGATTATAAAAAAATAATCTTTTAGTGCATACTTATTGGTTCATGGTCTATTCTAAATAGGAAATCAACATTTCCTATAAAAAATGAATGTTTGAAACGTTCCACTGAAATGAATGTCATACATACCTATAATTAGGTTCCCAGTACTAAATGTGAAACCCAGATCTTTTTGGAAGTACTTCGGCAAGAATATTACGAAGCCTACTGGATTGTTGATAGCATAGGCAATCACAGTTAACATAAAAATAGGGTTTTTCAACAAGTTCCATGCATTGACCAGTATTTCTAAAACAAAAAATAGACATTCCCAAGTTATTTTGACCATAATTAAGACCATGACACGTTATAATATGACAACATACTAATATTACTAATATATATATACTAGACAGACATTTTAGCGTGTGTTTATAAAGCCATTGGCATATTTTTTTCCCAGAAAAGCGCCGTCTAAGCGCTATGTTTACTTTTCTTATGTTCAAATCTGCCATGTTTAAAGGGCTGGCGCACTTTTATAATAAATATAAATATAAAATAACAATCATACCAATCAAATATTCTTATAATATGTCTAACGGGGGAAAGTACAAGTCAATGGACAAAAAAACGCTGTAAAAACAACACAACACAAACACAAACACAGACAAGTCAATGAAAGAATATGGACAGTCATACGGCCATGGAGTGATGTCAGGTGTTTCGAAAAGAGTGAGCACATTCTGCTCCACATGCGGCACCCGCCATCTATCAATCGAAGTCGTAGTCAGGAAGTGGTTTCATCTTACATAGGATAAATTACATCTTATTAACAGTACGATTATATTTTCTCACAACTGCCTGATACCTGCCAACAATCTTTTGAATGTCCTGGCAAGATGTTCTCTAGAGAATTCTTGGTCTAATAGCTTGAATAGAGAAGTCTATGGCGCGGCGCTTAATTAAGTATATGGTCTACATGCTCGAGCATAGAAAACAAGTTGTGAAATGTATATACCATTGGCTGGAGCACGTGAAATATTACTGAAAACGTGTGGAAAATTAATGATGGCGAAAACGAAATCATCTCTTTTGTCATATAGTCTAGTAGAGATTTGACATTTGGAGTCAAATAAATTCAATGATAAGAAATTGTAGACGTTCATTTTTCATATTTAACTTTTCATATCTTCTTTGTTACTGGTGAAATTTTAAAGTTGATACGACCGCGTTCTGAAACGGGTAAATTTTACGCTCACGACGACAATGTTTCTGCTTCAAGAAAATTGTTACCTTTCCCGTGGAGTAAAACGTTCATTCCGCTATATGAAGCAACGTCAGAGCTCTTGGTATATCTGCTTTCCGACTCGGGGATCTCCTTCCGCCCTCCTGGCATTTCTCTTGGGAAGAGACATAACAGAATGGACAGCAACAACAGTGCGACAGCTCCGCCAATTCCACCTAACCACCATGCTCCAACCCAACGTGGATCTTTATCAGTTAGACCAATTGTGCTCATATCCACACGGTAAAAATCTACGTATATGCTGAGGCAAGCAGAGCTGATGACGCCAAATCCAAGAGGTAGACCTATGCCCCATGACGCTTCGATTATGCCTGTGTGACGTATATATAAATAAATAAGTAACTATGAATATTTCAAAAAAAAATGTTATTAACTCATTATTATTTTTACTTAAAATTTAGATACTTTCAAATATAGATTAATACATTGAATGCAATAAGTATGCTGCAATAAATAGATTATTTTTACCATGATCTTATCTACAAATGCGTGGCTGGAAGACAGATTTCTTGCATCATGATAAATGATGCAGTTCTAAATACTAGCATTAACTACCTTACATAAGCGACCCTGCAATTAGATACACATTTTAATTACCAGTATAATGTAAAATCCATTGAGACGACCTACCTATATAAAATGCTGATTTCTTGCCCGAAAAGTCGTCAACATAAGAATAACCAAGGGTACTGTAAAATGTCCCTCCAATTCCAGAAATCATACGTCCCAAGAAATACAGATTAAATGCCATACGACCTTCTTGCGGCTGTTCAATTTCATCGTCGTTTAACTCTTTACTTTCACTTGCAGCAGTTGAACAGAAGCCAAACTCACTCGCACCACCAGTATTGTTGCTGGCTTGGTCATATGCGTATGGTTCGGACAAGAACTGAGGTAGTACACACAATATGATACCAAGGCATGATAGCAATGTTCCCACTGCCACCCATCGAGGTCTGTGGTGGTTTGGCCCGCCGAGAAAATGGGCAACAAATGGAGTGCACACCAATGTACTCACTTGACTGGAAGTTATCAAAATTCCTACTTGCTGAGAAGTGAAACTGTAAATAAATTTGAGATTAATTGCAGCAAATATTTGTCTTTGCGTTTCCAGTCGTAGATTGCGAGTTCTAATTAGCATACATGATCCCATTTTCCTTGTATCCGGAAGCTCGGTGTAGTAAAATAAAAACAACGATGAGTTTTGAATCAATAATACACCTTTGAAATATTTATTTATTTCACTTTCTATTATGAAAAACAACTATGAGTTTTGGATCAATAATAATAGTCCGTTGAAAAATGTATGTATTTCACGTTTTTTGGAAACAACTGTGGATGTTGAATGAATATTAATAGACATTTGAAATATTTATGCATTTCACTTTCTATTTGCAAAATAACTATGAGTTTTGAATCAATATTATTAGACCTTCAAGTGCAATCAGACGCCGAGATCTTGTTTACCATTGGCAATTGTGTTTTCCCCTTAAATAATGTTATTATATTCCTCTCATTTCTATACCTATATACATTGTATTTTTTCACATCTTGTCGCGGTGAAACAAACACCATACACATAATTCTGATTGATAAGATGTTGACAATTTACTTAATGTCTTTTACCTATACCGTCGTTCAAGCGTTGTGAGGACAGACGCTATATATGCAAACATAGCGCTTTCCACAACAATCAAAGTAAAGAGTAGAGCTACATATGATCTAATGTTGTGAAACCATCCAAAGCTCTTCTTCGATACATCTCCCGTACGATCATCACAATTATCCTGGTGACCTTTATTTTCTGAAAATAAAGTACAATATATTCCCAGTTAATAATGTTAGTCTGTGCCGTGTGATTCATTAGATTCATTCTACAATATAACATACTGTAAATATTAAACTATTATGCAACATGTGTGTACATTGTAAGTGGTGTTGTTAATTTTTCAGCATTTTTTGAGTAGTGAGTTTAAAGTGCATGCGAAATGCCAGCTACCAATATTGTTATTTTTTATGTTATGAAATACAACATAGTGAAAAAATGGATTTGAAACTCAATCTACGCCAATCTTATTTGTATGTATGGCTTCTCATTAACTTCTCATTTGCATACTCAAATACTATTCGTGACGTATAAAGGGAAACTTGATGACCAGCATGCATTGCCGATAATGTATATAAAGCTCATTGCTAATGTTGTTGTTTCTCGAAGAACACAATTTATTTATTGTATAGGGTAAACAATACGAAATATACCCCTTCTTGCGTAGCTGGTCACCGCGATCAACTATGTATTGCACAATCAGAGTCGCGTGTATTGTTGTTGATGAAGTCGTTTAACGTGCCGACATCTATTGCCACGGAACTCTACGCGATTTCTATGTCTATTTCGATTTATCCCAAGTTTGTCAAAGTCGAGTTTGACGTCTGGCTTGTCTTCTAATTATTTGCCAGGTTACTGGATATGTTCGTACACTGATTTACTCCATCATATCGATTGTCTAAGTAAAACAAAGATTCAAAATTTAAATAAAAAGAGAAAATGTTTTAACATTTATAATGAGTGAATGATTCGTAAATCAGGTCACGGCGAGAAAAAAATTAAGTGAATGGCGGTGATTGGATGATAAAAATAATTGAGAACGCAACACAGCAAAAAATTGTGATTCGAGTTATCGTGATTGTCATAATAACGCCATCACTTTAAAAATACGCAGACGAAAAATATTGACAGCCCACTTATTACGCAGATCAAATTGCAAGATAAGTTCACAGAATTGGGAAGTCAACAAACAATTCAGAAACTTTTAGAAAGCATAGTTAAAAACAATTGCCAACGTGTAAGTACTGCATAATTACCTGTTTGGTGTACGCATCGGTTTTCGCGTCACGTCATTGGGCCCTTACATAAATAATCTACATGGTTCTATAAAACGTTATTCAAATTCCCAAAACAGTTGAAACACTTACCCGAAGTTTCTCCCTTTGAAAGCTGACGCGGTTAATATTGGCTGGTCCGGAATCTAGTTCTTTAACTACAGTGTCAGGTTTAAATGTGTGGCATTTGTCGTTAAAACAGGCCGTTCTTTTATAAATGGGGTCATATAAGGAGAATGTCCATCCCATTGTTTGATTGACTTTATAGCTTTCGTCTACAGTTATTACACTACGAGAAATATCTCAAATTTACTCGGACACAAGTAATCACTTTCAAACAAAAATAAATAACTGTAAATGAGAAATGTGTTGGTGGGCATTTTACAGGCACTTTGAGTAGAGTCTACGAAAAGAGGGCGTTCGATAAGATCAACGATTGACAGAATTTTTAGCACCTCTATAATAAGTTTTCACCTGACTTCAAAGTAAATTTGACATTCTTCGTAACACATTGCAAAACAAACTTTTGAAAAAAAAATACAACTCAGAATTTCAATAAGATCGAAATGATAAACCAGTAGCAAGTTTTAGAAAAATCATTGTTCAATGGTATAAAATTATACATAATTATTTTTATAAGTAAATACGTTACCGCCCTTTTTTGTACCTTGTATGTAGGACATTTGGGTGTACCTCTGTCAAATTTGTTTATTTGGTTCAATTCTTTTATTTTAGCCGAATATCTTTGTCATTTTTGGTAAAAATTCTATTTTCGCCTTTTTAAAAAAAACTAATAGCTCGATTGCTCTATTACTCAGTACGTAGGGTTCATGGGTTGATCGCCATGATATTTAAAACACGGTAGTAATTGTAATTGACATGGCCCAACCAGATAAATTACCATGGATGTGATTTGACAAGGACAATGGGAGAACACTAATAACCATGACAAATAGTTAAGATCGCATCATACAGAACAATATCAAGTATCAATATCAACAATATCAAGTACTATATTGGTAGTTTCATTGCTGTCTTATCTTGCAGAATAAGGCAGTGGCAGTGGTGGCGGCAGAGACCCCTTCGAAAAAAATGTTTGGGGCGTCGGCCCTCTAACATCAAGCTGAAATCCTTTGTGTCAGCAAAATTTGCCTCTCAAAATGCAGGAAATAGCGTTTCAGAGGGTCTACATTTCAAAATTGTTAAGTGGGAGCATGCCCCACAATAAGGTTGCTGAGCAGATTCCGCCCACTCATTCAAAATTTCGTCCCGCCGCCTCTGAATGGGCATTACTGAGTCAGTGTGTTTGTGCTAACATCCTTCTACCTTATCCCGTCAACTGGATATGTGTAATATGTCCTGAGAAAAGTAAAACAGAATTTAAAACTTACCCTCGCAGTGGGCTTTATCCATGATGGAGTAATACGTCTGTACTCTGTAAGGCTTGGGAGGTTGCTCGCTATGACTTGCGCGATGCAAAATGAAGGTGGTTTTAAACACCTCCCTTGTCAGCACTTTCTACCTACGTGTCAACTGACTGCCACTCAAATGTCACCACTCCATGCATGTACGTTACATATTAACACAACATATTGACATACAGGTATATTAACAGGATCACGTGATGGTGACTTGTAATAAATTTCATTCTTTAAAAAAGTTGTTACTCTAAACAAATGTATTTGTCCTGCACTTCTAATCATTAAAATATAAATATTGTTGTTTTTGGAGAAATTTGAAAATATTTTTAAAACATTTACCCTGCTTTCATGAAAATACTAAATATTATTAACAATCATTAAATTCCGTTGGTTAAAAATCGATTACTTGACATGTGTAGAAAGTTGTGTGATTAAGGGGGCGAAACACGAACGCTCATTAATAATACTTATACCTTTTATGTTCGACCAACAGCTTAATAAGCCACGCGATGATATGTGTGATATATGCACTATACCCTATGCAATTCATTTCAAATTTATCAAACTTCCTCTGACCCTTGTGAAGTAAGTATACAAACACTGTATCTTTGATACATTTTTACATCACTACTTTTTTGACATCCATAATTGTGCCAAATGATTGGTCTAAAATAACCGGGTCATAATCAGAAAGGTAACAGTAAGAATGTCACACAGAATGAATTGCATTTGTTGTTTTTGCAGATTTGTTCTGTAAAATTGCTATGGGCGTGTGAATGCTTGAAACGTAGCAAAGCATAGACTGAAGAAACTTTGTGAGCTGAATCGGTCTGTCTGGTTGATGAGTAATTCACATCAACATGTCTAACTTGGGGAATATCATGATATTAATCGTTGAAAGAAAACACGAACTATACCAGTCAGTTACGTCAGCCAACTAATTTCAAAACAGAGCTCAAAGAAATTGACAAATAGTCTAGTGTATACAATGACTTCAAAACAAACATGACATAAAATACAATTGTTGCATATTTTAGTACAATAGTCGGCGTGACGAAGTTCCTGGAAGACAAGTCACGTTGCAAGTTTTATGGCGCTACAGGACATCTTACAAATGGCACATTCAGGGGTCAATGACATTTTGCAGTATAACTTTCTACGTGTGACCGAAGTGATAAATTACCCTGTTTAACCTTCGACCTATCACGTGAAACACTTATGAAACTCATTAACAAATAAACTGTAAAATCTCAATAAGTTCAAATTAGAAGCTGTTTTTACTCTGAATTAATTTAAGTTGAGATTAGGATTGTCATTGGGTCTCATCTTGCCCTAAGCACTCCACAGTGCCTTGCTGTTGCCGCCTTCTCCATTGAACCAATCTAGTGTTTTTTTCCACAAAGTCCGTCGGAGTCCAGCTTTCTTATGCACAGGCACTGGCGGATCCCGCAAAATGTATTATGGGGGGGGGGGGGTGTCCAAGCTTCGCTTAAAATTTACGGAGCGTAAATCGCAGAGAAGCTATGCGTAATCCAGATGATATGAATGATCGTTTTTGGGGGGGCATGCCCCCCCTCTCTGGATCCGCCACTGTGCACGGGTAGGCAAACCCTATAGTGCGTACATCATTGCGAAGTTTTGGGGCCTTGGGGATCTTCACTCCACTCCATGGTATCAGCGGATGCTGTTTGTCGAATTAAATTCCCCGAGTAGTAATCCTACTACTAAAATATCGCGCCACATTTACAACAATGACGAGTTCAGCGGGGCACGCATGAACGTTACACGGTCCAGGGTTATGTGTTAATTTCCGTTGCCGTAGGTACATATCAGCGGAGTTATTTTGATGTGTCCAGTGATGTATATAACACAATATAATAGTACTTTCACTGACTTGAAATCTTCAACAAAATACAAATATATCTAATGGTAACCTGAAACACCAAATCAGACAGACTCTTATGTATACGAATTTATTAAAAAAATTATTATAGTAACAAACAAATTTTTCAAATTCGTTCAAACAACGAACTAATTTGGCAGTAATGAAGGTTGGAGTGTGGTCCGTTTTGAATCATATCGAGGGGTATCAATTAATCTAAACTGAATGATCACTCGTCAAATAATGAGGCGAACAAGTTGCTAGTTATATGAAGACAAAGTATCATCGGCTGTTGGAAACTATATCTATGTCTCATCATCAATATCTACATATCCCTGTACTGGTATTTCAATTCACAGTACTCGGGGACTTCATAACGGCGATATCTTCGATATAGAGCACCAGTAGATTTGAGGATTTATTTAATGTAACGTCAGTTTATATGGGCCAATACGTACACTGGCTCCCAATTGACGTGTCTCTTAGATCTCGGGTTACTCAAACAAATTGCGTGCACGAAGAAGCGTCCCTATAATTGTGCAACTGAAAAGAATTTTTTGGATGGATTAGTTAAATGAACACTTACACGGTCTTACCTTAAGTACAAGCGGAAATCGACACATGAGCATTCTCACATGTGATTTAAACATTTTTCTCGGAAACTGTTTAATTCACTTCAGAAAGCAAAATTGCTAACTAAAAAACCAGACTATGCATGTTTCGCAAAGTATATCGGACGCAATACAAAGACGCACGCAATTTTTCAACCGACTATGCATGTTTCATGAGTGGTTACAACATGTACACAAGTTCACACGCGACGTATACAACACGGGTGAAAAACATGCTTGTTTTTTAAAAAATCCAAATGCTCTCTGCGGTGAAACTGCGCCATTTTAAATTGCTTTCAGCATTGTACATTGTTTTCAGCCGTACAATATTGACAGCAAATTGTGTGTAAATTGGCTGCAAATGCCGAGAACTTTAAATTTAACGATAAATTTAATGCGTGCCATCAATGTAATCAGATATCTATTATTTTAGAGCCCTTCATAAAGCGACGTAGGCAAATTTCCGGAAGTGTGAAATCAGGATGCTAACTTACAGGTTGTTGATGCAGGTTGTTGATTAAGAGGTAGCTCTCCCCTATTGACATTGGTTGCGTACCACATACTCAAAGCCGTCACTTCCTTAGTTTTGCACATATGCAAGGGATTCGTCACGGTATATTCCAATGACTGAAACAAAAAATAGAATTATTTTTGGCTATAGAAGAGAAATAACTCATCTCTAATATGTGACGAATGAAACTTCTAGCCTGGCGTCCTGCATAACCGTTCATGGGCGGCATAAACCTGTACTTCAATTGTCCAGATTGTTAGAAAATGGTTCATCATGAGTTGGTTGGATCACTGACTGAAGAATTAGAAATTTTACACTGACAGGATAACACACTCAAACCAATTCCGGGCACATCAACCTTTATTCAGTTCATTCCCAGAAATATTTTTAGTACAATAAAGACAGCAATTCGAATACAGTTATCTGTAGCATTCAGACTTGAAATACAGATATATATATTCTGTATATGAATGCAAGTGTGGTTGGTTTACAATCTGCATAAGAAACAGATAAAGTTACCTATCAGGTATGTGAACGTATACCGGATTACAATACTTTTTATAGCCAATTTATTTTACAGTATTTGGTAAATTTCCCATACCTGATACAATGAATAATTACGGGCCACTTGTGTCCTTTAAAAAGTGAGGTGTAAGTTGCACCCTTATCACGTTTATCATGAGAGAACAACTTTGGTTTGATACTGCTTAATTAACCAGTGAACGTGACAAGAATCCAACAAAGAATCTTAACGATTCAGGAGAAAAGTGTCGGTAACATAGTAAGAACAATAGCGACAATTGACGAACTATAACAACGAGTGGCCGGCATGATATACAGGAGTTGGTATTCTGCCCTCTATATTTTATTAGTGTCCATGATAAGTCCTTTTGTTTTTGCCCTGCAAGTCACCCCTTATAAATTATAGGAAATACGTGGGCCGTGATGAATGAGTGCGACTATTCAAATAGTAGATTGTGGCAGATACAGTGTGTATCAAAACATAGTGGCCTATGTAGATGTTTATTGTCAGTTCCATTGATATCTCAAGAACGAATTATCAGATTTTAATGAAACTTAATACATAGGTGCTATTCGATAATGTACAGAGTTTATTGTGGTTCGGTTTAGATCTCGTGCATACTAATTATCTAATTAGCATATTAATTACCCAATTTTAAGTCTTTTCACAAGCAGTTCTGTTTAATGAGATAAATGTGTTTCTTTATGATTGTATACAGTGTGCTTAATTCTTCTTACTCTTCTCAATTTCAATTCTGAGATAATTGCTCTGTTTTGTGTCATACTTAAAATTTTGGTGATCTCAAGTTCTATAGACATTACTTTGAACATTTAGCTGTTGTATATCTCCAATATTAACAAGGTAACACTATGTGTTTACGTGAGTCAACTATCTATGTGGAGACGTTGACTTACATATGTGATACACGGTACAGGTTAATAATTGACATTCATCATTATATCTAGTAATGACCTTTAAATATGTCGAAATTGAAGTCTACATTTCTGATTTCTTTGTGAATGCAAACGAAGTCACGATCTTATGTTTTATTTCGAGTGTGCTCACTTGCCGTAACAGATTTATTTCAAGGTAATACACCATTCATGGGTTGTTGATCATAATTAAATGCGTAAAATGATTTGTTTTCTGGAATTGTTTACTTCTCGCATACCTTCAAATTCTATAGTTTCTCAATGTCTCAGACTCTGGTCAAAATACTGTAACACCCTTGGTTTTAGCCTTGCCTTGTAGCAGGTTGCATTCACGGTAATAAGGCATTTATGTGTTTTGGACAACATTTTTGAATATGAGGTGCACTGTGTTGTGCACACAACCTTTGATGTTAAACTCGTCAACAAAAATGAAAATGAATAAGCAACTTTACTCGGCTCACCTCACTATGAATTAAATGATTTTTCGTGTTTCTGATGGATAATAATTTCATTTTAATGTCTATGCTCTTCTACCAAAACTGGTGTCAGATTGGCGAGCAGTATGATGCATTGTCATTAAATGAGATAAGCAGTTTATTTGTGACTGGATGCATCATGTAGTTTACTATGATACATAGATACATTATTCGCCCATTGCACTTCTATGCAAAAACGTTTACGTAACATACGTACGATGTAGTAACACAGAACCTGCGATGGTGTCGCAAAAAACACCTAAAACTAAATTTGCCGTATAATTTCCTTATCGTTGAAATTGAAAAATATTTCTTCATCATTGCATCATGACAAATGTTTACTTGGTATATAGAACACCACAGAATCATGAGATATAAAAATACCTTTTATGGAGAAAACATATGTTATTTATGTTTAAAAAACCACGCTCATGAACTTATTTATATACATGTTTTGAACAGTAATGAACGCTTATAATATGGTTCAATTATATTATAGCGGGCGCTCGCCTCCTCTGCGGTAAAACTAAACGTCAGGGTCATATTGCATTCTTTAGTTTTTTTGTGTTTTTAATTATATGTGTGTGCTATGTGAGAGAGTGTCACCTACAAATTATCTATTATAGAGGCATAATCTCTCACCCTAATGATACAATTATATTTGTGTGATTCTTGTTGCTCTGACACATGTATTGCCGAAAGGGGGTTAATAATTTGCTAACTGATTGAATAACTATATATTAGGAAAATACTATAGGAATAAAAAAGATCAACAAATCCCAAGTCATAAGACATTTAGTGAAATTAAAATAACTCAAAATAAAACAAAAAAAACAAAACAAATAGGCGTAAAGATGACCATGTTCGTCAATTGTCGTTGGTTTTAGGCACATATGAAACTCATGTCTTCTCGAGAAGTCTGCCCAATATATCGTCGGGTTCCTGTATAAAACAAAAAAGGAAATGTTAATATCTGAGTTAAAGTAACTGGGTTGTCGTTAGATGATCCTACATATGATTTCCTTCAGACTTGCTTCCAGAGAAGATATGTATACGATGCATAACTGACGAACCCTGCCGTGATTCACAATAAATTATTTGTATACTCACTGCAATACTGTTAGTGGAATATTCAACACGTTCCTCAGATTCTTTCACTTGTCGTTTTCTGAGTATAAATAAAGCACTGCTGTAGAACAATACGGCAATTATTCTGGCGGAAATATCTGCGCCTATGAACAGTACACGAAACATGGCGTTGTTGTATTGTGCGCATGCTCCGCGTACACCACATTTCTCTCGTCGGAGAATGCATGTGAGATCAATGAGTTTCCCAGCAATAATGCCCAGTTGTATGGATACTAAAAAAAAAACGTAATTAGACAACACAGTATAAGTAAGTAGCTAGGTTAAACTTGCATACATTAGTCACAAAAAAATGTGACGCGGACAGTTTTATGTCACATAACACAATACATCACAAATGTCAACACAAATACTGCGTAAATATGGAAATGCATATAGGTCGCATTAAATACACTACACAAATAATTATGTGATACTTCGATACAGGATGCTGACATGCCTTCACATGATGTGAACACATCAATTCATTATGATGACTCGTAATGTAAATACATTATGCTATAACATGCTATTACGATGCGAACACAATATTACAGGATGCTACAAGTGAACAATTCTCATTGTAAATTTCTTATGATAGAATACATGACGTAGGTAAATTGCTCTGCAATGTAGATACGTAATAATGTGTTGCAGAATTTTATTCGGTTTTCTGGGCAAAGAAGTTCATGACTCCTGCAAACTTGATTAATTCAGAACTGATAGGCGGATTCGGAACCTTATTCTAAGAATTCCGTGAACTTTGCCATATCTCAGAAACATAATTGGAAAAGCAAATATGTAATGGAATTTTGAGGTACATATACTTTCTATGGCAGAATGCCAGGATGCCTCGGAATTCCTTGATTGGAAGGGGGAATACCGCCTATGAGATATCGGCGGGGCTCAGAATTCCTTGATTGTGAAAAAGGGATGAGGTGTGATTATTCGTACGTTCCAAATACAGATACCAAACTTACTTAGCGAGCCTATGATGGTTTTAATACCAATCGAAAATGACTTCTTGCCTTCATCAACACATCTGTAATGATGGAATAAACATGCGAGTAATGTGCACAGTGACACATCGAGTATGTTTGTTTGTCATGATAACGTACGGTGACATTTATGCTGTATTTGACGTGACCTAAAAGGACTTTGTTTTCAAAATACATTTACTGTACATTCCATCACTTAATCCATAAGTATTTCGTCACTAAGACAGATTACACTGGCATCGGGACTTATTCGCTGGGTTGCATAATGTGAACGTGTATTATATGAATATGTGTGTATAACTAACTGACCTTAATAAAACCATGGTGCTTGGTAAATCAGTGCTACACTTAGCAATGGCTGTCAACATCATAATAAACATAAACGGAATAAAACGTGCACATTTCGGCTCAATACATAATTCACTTGTAGCAAACGTAGTCTCGGGCCTCTTATTATCAATACATGTACAATCACTGTAATTCTGTGAGTGGAAATGAAAAACGACAGAAAAACATTTCACTGACCAATTCAAACTAGGATATACTGGTATGAAAAAGTAAAATATTTTTTTTAATTCATATACAGTTCGTATATTGTTGGTATAATTTAATCTGAGGACAATGTGGTTTCTTGCCTATTCACGGATTGAGCCTATTTTGCATTGTTCTAAAAACGTACAATATGGACTTACATATTCTCATTGTCAATTTCATCTCTGGAATGTTATCCACGGATTTGATGTTCTGATTTGTGCCACGACACTATTTTTTTGATTCCATAGAAAAAATAACATTTGGATCAAAAGATATCTCGTGTAGATTGAATATCACAACAGCTAAAATAACATTTGCTCATAGTGTTATTTCTTTCTAGCTGAAGTTGCACAGAATCAACGAGCGCTTACAGTTTTGAAAATGAATATTCAACTGGGGCAATCCACTGTTATGAGATATAGACTCACATCTAATAAGTAACATAAGACATAGTGCATTATCAGTTATATTTGCCAACAGGTATACGCAAAATGGCCACCGATATCTCACATGCAAGTCTCGAATTTGTACCTTTTCCATTCACCACATCCACAGTTACCAAGATAAACCTTTAAACGTAAACATAGTATTTTGAACAGTTGTCATGTGGACAGGAGAGATTTTAACTCTAATTGATTTATAATTTATATAAGGCACCTATATTAAATTGGCAGGTAGCGAATATGTTCAACCAACCCTAGGTCCGATCGATTCAGAGCATCCTGCATAACACGGCGAGTAATAATTGAGACTATTTGAACCACAGACTGGTTGATAATGATCTAATGTACAGTTGCAGTCTGTGTTACATTCTGTGGTCAGATTACCGTTTCTTCAGTGGGAAAAAAATAATGCAAAATAAATATCATCGTGGAGATCGGATGGAACGTTGCAATAATAACTGAACGTTGGCATTTTCCCAAACATCTTTAAAACTTTTGAGCTGCACCAACAACACGGCATATGAGATGTGTGTTATTTCTTCCTAATGATTGCATTTCGACATTATAGTATACGGTGCAATTCACAGAGTTTACTTGCCTGCTTTCAACAAGATAAGGCTCTTCACACTGTAAAAATAATGCAAGACCATTTAATACAATTAGACCACAAACTATAATTATGCTAAATTTAGTCAAGCCGGTCAATTTCAGTTTCTTCCATTTGATAAAGTATCCCAATGCAATATTCACGGGAAATTCTGGAAACAGCCACATGAAGGCTACAGACAAATCAGAAAATATACATTATAGCTTACTTGAAAAATTATAGTATAAATAGCTGAAAGTATAATTGTGATCACACATGGAACATACGGGGAAAAACACTCAATATAAGCGAAAACCTACCTATGATAAGATTTGCGGTACTTGCACTGAAACCCAGATCTTTTTGAAAATATTTCGGTGGAAATAACACAAAACCAACAGGATGGGAGAGAGAACAACCAATCACGGTTAATAGATATATAGGGTTCTTCAGCAGGCTCCACACAATATGCAGCATTTCTGAAGAAAACACAAGACAGTGAATAAACTACGTACTGTTAATACAATTTCACATTGGAGCGTCAATTGGGTTAGTTATTGAGGAGTTATGTAATAGTTTCCGTCTCCCATATAAACGTCGAGAAATGCATTAAATCCACATTGCTGAATGAGCACCTCGAGTAGAGTGATGTGTGAAACCCGGAAACATCTGTACCCCTTCCTAATCTGGGCGTGTATTGTTATGTACAATTTCACACCTTTTCCATGAAAAATAACGTTTTATTTCTGATATGAACCACTGTGCGACTCCAATGAACCGTGTTGATTCGTCTTGATGAATTTTTGCTCCCTTCGCATACGTTTTGAAAAACAGAAGAATGGAATAGCCATCACCATCAAGGAGATGAATCCAGCAACCATGCTCCAACCCAACGTGGATCACGTTCAATAATTTTTATAGAAGATATATCCACTCGGTGAAAATCCACGTATATTATATTCTTAAGCATATTGAACTGATGACGCCAAAACCAAGTGGTAGGCCAATTCCCCATGCAGCTTCAACTACTCCTATATTCAAAATGACAAATGAAACAATAACTATATGTGACGATGCATTCAATATTGTTGTTATTATATTATTAAAGGCTGTAAATCGCATAGATATAAAATACTCGGTTATTATCACTTTATATCCGCTACTTAATACCCTCCTTGTATAACCTCTTATTGTATTGATATTCAGATTGTAAACCTTGCACTTTTCTTCATATGCCGGTTGTAAACCGGACATTTGCGTTGCTATGTAAATTGAATATATATCTATACTTTTAGTTTAAAAGTGTGGGGTTTACAATTTGCATATAAATAAACTTTACAGACTACATAAAATCAACAAAGGATTTACCAAAATAAACAATCAGCCAGAATAATAGGTCACGCGAATATGAATAGTATAAATATATTAACATACGTACCAATGTAGAAAGATGACTTATCACCTGAAAAGTCATCTATAAATGAGAACCCAAGCGTATTGTAGTAACTCGATCCAATTCCAGATAAGAAACGACCAATGAATGACAAATAAAACGCCAGAGTGTCTTCTTCTTTGTGTACGCGCACGTTTTCCATGCAAGACTGACTTGTATTAGAACAAGAACCAGCATCTCCATCACTGGCAGAATAATTACCGGTCTGATCGTATGAATAGGGCTTAGAAAAAAATAGGGGTAGAATACTGAGAAATATTGATGAACCCGAGATGAGAACACCGATTCCGATCCATTGTGGTCTATGTCGATTCTGTCCACCATGAAAATAACTGATAAATGGAATACTAATGAGTGAACCAATGGAACCAGCACTTGTCATGATACTTTCTTGCTGAATTGAGAGGCTGATGAAAATAAAAAATGCCTGATTTACTAATCATGAAAAACTTTTTGGTAGCTCTTGGAGTCTATTTTTGAAAAAAATGTTTGCATTTCAATTGATTGGCATTATGATTCAACGGGGATGAAAATTCATAAATTAAAGTGCGAATTGATACAATATAGATATGTAAATATACCTGCAATCAGGTAAGCATACAGGATAGTATATGAACAGCTGATATATCAAATTGTAAATGAATGTATGTATAGGTGAATACAATTGCAGGCTATTGAATAGTATGACTATGTACTGGGTAAATGAAACTCACCAGTCGCACGCAGTTGAATTTTAAATTACATATAATTTTTTAATACATGCCATTTGATGAATTGTACTGTATACAATTTTTGTCTACAAAGGTGTTCCAAATATGGCTTACGTTTTGTAAACAAAAGTACATTTTGTGTTATTGTGAGAACTATATTTACAACTACAAATTCTTACCCATATCTCCATTCAAGCGTTGTCAAGACAGATCCTACATATGTAAACATGACAGATTCTAATACATTAACCACACAAAATAGCGCCACAAAACATCTGATGTCGTGAAACACTTTGAATTTGCATCTTGCCGTATTGTCTTTCGGGACGTCGTCATGTGACCGATTACGTGATGTCTTGTGTTCGTCTTCCATAACCTTCTGTTATAAAAGTAAAGAACAATGAACACTTTTGCATTGGTCAGGCAGTGAAATCTACAATTCTAATTGTTAACATTGAATTATAGATAGGTATAAAATGATTAATGATAGGCAACTAAGTTACTCATTGATGCACCGTAACGGTTAGTGAAGGAAATGTTTCTATGATATGACAGTTCAATAACACAATAACACTAATAAAAATCCGACAAAAAAATAACATTCTTTTGTGTATGTTATTTTTTTTTAGTCTTTGTCTAAAGTCTTTTTTCATCTCAATTTCAGGCCTTCATGCATAGTGCCCGTATAATACATTATTGGGCGATAATACATTATGGAATGAGAGTCATAGTATACCGCTGTTGATTCTATCGCTGTAGAATATTAATATAAACTTTCATAATGGCAGGATGTGTTCCCTCTTTTAGTACTGATAGTAGTGGTGCCAAAGTCGCGTATTTTAAGTAAGCGAGTAAAACGACGTAGACAGTTAGTGTAATAAATTAGTTTTTTCGTACTTGTTCCCAGGCCACTTATGTGAACGTTTCGCAGTTTTATCTGACCTCCATTGCCCACTGTTACATAGAACAATTCCAGAGGTCAAGAGGTCTTGGTTTCTATGTTGATGGTAAACACGATATAATTAATGGGTTTTCCGTTCACTGGATTTGGTACATGTGATACCGCTAACCTGACTTCCATGTTTTCTGGTTAGGCTCGGGGTGAATTTTATTTGTACACGATTTGTAAACTGTACAAGCCCACCTTATCAGACGTGCTGATGTTGAATGCATGCCAGACGTGTGAGAGAGGAGTATGCCTTCTTTTAGATCTCTGTAAATCATTACATGTTCGGGAATAACGTAATAATTTATATTAAATCAAACAACGTTTAATGGTATTTGAATATTAAAACAACGTTATATTGAAATTTTGGTGGTGGGGCTTTTGTCGAAACGAAATGCACCGGTTAAAATTGATTCCACGCTTGACTTGTTAAGGCTAAACCCACGCGAAACTTGTGAAAGCTCAACCCACGCCAGACTTGTGAAAGATGAACCCACGCCAGACTTGTGAAAACTCAACCCACGCCAGACTTGTGAAAGCCCAATCCACGCGCCAAGGCAGCTAAGGTCAGAACAATAACAATAGTTATGCTGAAACTAGAAATAATTATTTTCAATTTCACTTTGTAAGATTAGAATTGCTAGTCTCCCTGTATAGTTATATCGGTTGGTATGTCAAGTCAAATAACACTTCGGAAATAGAGTGAGTGTTTTTAAATTAATTTTCGACCACGTTTGTAACATCATATAAGTGTTGTTATTAGAATCGTTGCAGTGATAAAGACATGTCAACACTTTTGACGTACTAAAACAAATTACGTAAAAACCGAATATTTACAAAAACGTTGCTTTTTATCGTGTTTGTCTACGAAGGGCAAAACTCCCGAACCGGAATAGACACTGTAAGGTGCATAGATACGAATAAAATAATAAATAATAAATACAACGAACGAAAGTCGTCCGTCATTATTGTTCAACTTGATCACAATTACTCTGGTAATGGTAGTGCGAATCTTCAGTATATTTAAAGCAACTTAGAACAACCGAATATATTGTATTGAAACACATGTCTTATATTAGTCAATATTGACGGACAAATATGTTGGATATATTAGCATTTTGCAAACACCTAGAAATCATAGTGTCGTAATTATTTTTACTCCACGTACAAACATCCTAGTTTGTTTGTTCCTCTGAGTTTTCTGAATATTTATAATTGTTAGCAAGTTACAGAAGAATTACTATTATTTGAAATGTGAACGTTTCACCGTTCACTTACAGTAGAAAAGCATGAATGGTAATTTACCTTACACCTAAACCGTACAAGATGACCGGTCGTTCATACGAAACTGAAAGCTCATCAACCCACGCGCTACAGTGTCTAAGGTCAGACTTCTATTTTAAGAGAATATTCCCTAGGTTACAGTCAAAATGTCAAATAACAGTTCGGAATGGAATAGTGAAAGATTTATCATATCTGCCATCCTTTATGAATTACCAGAAGGGTGATATTAACAAAATCGAGAAACAGCTAGAAGCTTGAACCGAAATATTGAATATTACGTCTTTTAATATATTATGAAATGTCCTGAGTTTTTACTTTTCTCAAATACAATTACGGAAACAAATGTGAAATTATCTATTCCTTAATGATGGCGCAATTTAGTGAAAATTACATACTTTCACCTTACATAAAATGCGGTTAGTGCAAACTTTCTCCGAAAGCGCCGGGTCATGTATAGGATATTGAAGGGAAATGAACCAGTTTGATAAGGGCTCAATGCGACATGTAGAACGCGTGAAAAATAAATTGTTTACACGAGAATCAAACGCGCGCAGCATGACGACTCCTGATCTTCAAAATCACTGGATTCTTCACTGAGATGCTACTTTTCCCATAGACAAACTTTACAAAATAAACTTCTGACAATTTAAACGCATTCTCTGGGAGCACTCTAACCTGAGCTGTCATTCATTGAACAGGAACAAATCTGTATAATAAACCTGGTCCGATTCGACACTGAAGGCGATTTCATGTGGCATGTATATAATGTGGTACTACTCTGCAAATAATAACGGAGCAGCTAAAAATTAAGCAAACGATATGTCGATTGTGTAGACTGTATTCCTTACCTGTGATAGTATTAGTTGACAGGCAGGCATCTTTGAATACTGTTGTGCTATGCCAGGTTGTTGAATACAATGTGATTCAGAAACATTTTACAATATGTATAGTCTACTATTATCTTATCTTATACAATGTTTACAAGGGTGATATCAGGTCATATACGTGCTGCAAAAGTAAATTATTATTATTAATCGATCTTTCCTACCATAATCGGATCTGGTTGTGGTGTCTACAGAACGTATACAAAGTCAATATAAGATAGGAATTCACAGCTGGACATATATTGTGAGCTTACAGGGCCGAACCTGGCCTCGTTCCACTTATGATTAACAATTAAATAATACCAACGGTTATTCAACGTTTGATGCATCTTTTGAAAATTGTAAAAAATAATATATAATCGTTGGTTTTGTTCGCTAATTAGGATTTGCCAGTTATTAATAATTGCAATCAATTATTTAAAATAAATTAATCAGGATAAATGGTGAAAATCATCAATAAAATAAGTATGTACAAGTTATTTTTCAAAATGTCAATACAAAATTTGGATTAACATGAGGGATTTACAAAGTTACTGTATACATGATTTCAGTTGAAAATATAGCTGCAAGCAGCAATATTCTGCTTGGGTCTATAGTCGCTTTTCAATCAATGTCGCTTTGAATATGTCAGTGGTTGTTAGAGATATATCAGTCTTCAAACTCTCAAGACGATGAATTTATAATAATAGTATGAACTGTATTTACATATTATCCCACGATATAGCAAACAAGAGTGATTACTGCCATATTGCCATATTCGAGCTACAGGCACATATCGGTGTTACTCTGGTAGTAATCGCGACTATGGGCATTGGCTTGATTGTTGTGGCCATTTAAATAATTATTACGGTTTAAAATACCTCTAAGTTCATGAAAAAAATTTTTCTCCGAGTTAGAAAAGTTAGATTTTTTCAATAAAATTAATCCCCATCAAATTTTACTCCTATTTTGGCCATTATTTAAAGAAGATTTAAAAATATGTTGAATAATGCATGTAACTCTATGACAATATTGTGTTGCGTTGTCTATGTATAGGATGGAACAGAATACAAACATAATTATATAAATGAAATAAACATGCATTACTAATGCAAATTACATATACATGCAAAGCGATATAAACATGTGTGCTGATTTCCAAAGGTAATCTGCTGTCCTTTAATATAAGGTTTTTACAAATATACCAGAATTTATGTTAAAGTACATCATACAGCGAAGGTATTGAATACAATGAATCTCATTACTATACCTTTTTTCATATTAGGAAGTAAGGTTCAACTAAACTTTCCCTTTGCCACTAGGCCTAATTCATTACATTTATTTCTTTAAAAATTTAGGAATTTAATAATTATTCTTCATGCTCAGACCAATAGATATGAAAAATATATAACATGTTTTACCAACATACAAATACATAGTAATTAATACCACAGCAAAACACCTCCAATTCGCATATTTTGTGGAAATACAATCATCAATATAAAAACCAGTCTCACAGATATATTTTCATATAATATCAATCTAAAATGGAATACAGTTCTCCAAATATCATGATTTACAAACTTGTATCTAACTAATATATT